AATTAGAGCTCTCAACTTTAAGATTCATTTTCTCAGCGTAATTTCACCATCTGAGAATCGCTACAAATTTTTACATTCTGGAAAAGACTATATTCGCTTTTTTTTTTAATTAAAGCAAATGGAAAGGGGGCAGAATTATTTCAAGAGTTAACTCTGTTAGTTCAAGAGTCTCTAAAAATTTAGAGTGTGATATTTATTACCACTAGATTTAGATAAATTCCATAAAATTATTTTTTGAAAGAGGTTTGTAGTAAACTGACCATCATTTGCTCATACTTCGTTTGTGGAAATTATTTTGCTTTCCAACATCATAAACCTAATTAGATCGTCTGTAAATTAGACGAATAAAATAATCCAGTAGAAAAGCTATTTAAGTATTTTAAGCTAATTTAACTACAGTGCAGTTAAAAAATTTGCAACTTCAACGGGTGTTTCTTCGCATGCGACGGATAGAGAAGTATTTGCAACTTTCTTCATTCAGTTTGAGCATCAGCTTAGGATTTAGAAAATTCTCCGTCACTGAAATCCATTAAAAATGTTTTGAATACAGTACTGAAAACATAAAAAAAATCTGCATGTTTTTGGATTTCATATTATAGCCAAAAGGGCGGTTTCTTTTCATTTACACACACATGCACATATCGGGAGTTATTTGGGCTAACGTATTTTGAGACAAAAATATTTAAAACAGCATATATTTAAAATTTCCGATAAACAGTCTCGCGCGCTGGAGATAAAAATAGCTTATTACGTACGATACCGTTGTTTTTTCACAGTGCGAGAAATATACGTACATTCATGCATATTCTTCATTATTTAATTTAAATATAAAATAGGGCCGTAATATTTAGTGGCAACAATTTGAAAAGTGATTCAACGCTTGATTCGACTGAAAATGCCATTTTAAGAATAATAGCACTTATGGGTGCACGCCCTTTTGGGCTAAGCATTACTGAATACCAAATGTATCATTTTCATGTTAGATTATAAAAAATATGAATTGTATAGATACTTCTTAAGCATCTGAATAATGCAGGATGATTACTTCATAACACATCCAAAGATTTTGAGTTCGAAGTTTACAAATGCAGAGTGATTAGTAATGCATCAAAGCAAAGAAAATACTTTTCATCTTTCTCTCTGTTTAGTTCCATGTACGAGCAGTGTTGAAGATGATATTCGGATTCACCTCACACTTGTCCTTGGGTGTCCTTTGTCTTTGATTTCGCAATAACAAGCCTTTAAAAAATGCGTTTTTAGAGTTTATCCAGGGTTAGGCCATATGTTGACACATACACAGCTGAAATTATGTCCCAAGTCCCTGTATGAATTAAAAATTCTTTCTGCCTCTGCAATGAAGATAGTGCTTAAGGCCTAGTGTGGACAGAATTCGAATATCGTTTCGAAGAGGGTTAATGTAGCTATGCGTTATGGCTCACCTGTACATTTGAAAACGGTATTGCAAAAAGAATGACTAATACCAAACTCTGTTGAATATAATATTCGAGGGTACTGTCCTTGTAAATATGGTAAAAACTAGTTTTACTAACATTTGTAAAAATGAAATTTTGAAGACAACATTGTAAGGTTCAAAAGTTTTTTACTCATAATGGGGTTTAAAATTATCAAATGTATTTGCTTAAATTTTATGTATGTTTGGAATGCGAGGATGCGAAGATAAACATTAAAAATATGATTATTTCTGTCAGTAAATTGAAATAATTCTGTTTATCCCAAATAGCTGATTTGTATTTTATATATTTTGCATTATATTTGTGATTTACAGGCATCTTATTGTTGTATTTTAATTTCCTTGAAAGAAAGAAAATTCTGTGTTTAAAATTTTGCCATTAAATTTCATTTTAACAATCTGTCTAGTCATTTTATTTACTTATTTTTTGTATGTATAAGCTTCTGTGTATTCCAGCTTTTATATTAGAACTTAGTCACCCTTGTCAAACTCCGAATATTTAGCCTTCTTAACCCCATGCCCACTAGTGGTGAGACATCTTTTCTTAAAAATATATCTATACATGTCCTATTAAACATTTTAATGAGAAAAATGTTTTCCATGCCCGAATTAGTAAAATAAAAGACAAATCCAATGCAGATTTTAAAAGTTACTCTGAGATTTCTAAGAGACAGAGTATTCTGAGACTGAGATTAACAAACTGAAGACATTTCACAACTTACGAATTAAAGAAATACGGAAAATTAATGAATTAGAAGATTACGAATAATGGTGTGTAGAAATGCTTTATGTGTATGTAAGAACTAACTTCTCAGAAGACCTTGAATAAAATTAAAGTTTGTTAAGGATGTTCATAGTGTCATAAGTCTTACACACAAATTGAGAAATGGAAGAGGAACACATATGCCATAAAATTATGCAACGAAACGAATAAAACTGAACTGAAACATGATAATAAACATTTAGATAAAAGTAAATATCTTAGATATAACTAAAGTTTTATCATTAACAGAGAAAGAATGTTGTTTGGCGTTAGCCTAACGAGAACGCCATTAGTTTCCATTTGAAACTCTTAGTAGAACAGTGAATTAAGTCAGTTTATGCACCAGCTAAAGTGTCTTTTGAGTGCAGAGAGTGGGACCAAAAGTTAAACTTTCAATTTTGTGCACCGAAAATTTTGTCTTTCTGTCCGTTTTCCGAATAGCTTGTGTGCAATCTTTAATTTGAACTGCACAATTTGTTGTTCTCTAATACAATTCGAGGAAATAAGTTTAAATGAAGTGCAGCAAAATATATATATATATAATTTAATAAGTCGTACATTGAAGTCGTGTGAGGTCCACATCAAATTTTTTCATATGTATTTCTAGTCTTCTTTCTTTTTTTTATTGCCGTACCATTTATTTTTAATGTAACGCTTGTGACGTTATATAGTCTTGTGACGCCTTTAATTCTGATCCCACAACCGATTTATAACGAGAGCACACTGCATATCTGCTTTGAGAAATGACGGTCACTACTGACGACTATTTTTTATGCAAACAGCAGGGTCATGACTGAGTAAACTGCTTATATATCTCGCAAAATGAAAAATATCAGTGACTCTGATAAATCCGTGCAGTAAATTGGTATATTATTGATTCGTCACATTAATTCTAATTTTTCGGTGTACTTATTATTGAAACATAAACCGTGGTATTTGAAAAATGCAAAAATGTATGAAAATTGTTTAACAGTTATTCTTAGAATTACACTTTTCATCCTATAGTAGCTAAAAATACCTCACCAACTGATGACCTAACTTGTCAAGGAAAGTATGACGTAAGATTTGAGGGTACGAGGTATGTATGGTACGTTATCAAGAACATATTAAAGAATAAAATCATCAAATGACTCGCAGCAACTAACGAATACAAAAGAAGAAAATCTCAAAAATCCATAATATTCCAACAAATAGGTGTAATGTTCCCCGTTCAAACATGAATGGCAAGGAAAGACCAGACTTTTAGGTTTCAATCCAAATATTGCCGATAGATGGAGCTAATAGCAATAAACGCAATCACGTCAACACTGAAAATGACAAGGACCAATTTTGAAGCTGTCATGTGAACTAAGTAATTTACTTTTGTTCCATGTAATGACTTAATTATTCTTATTATTGTGAAATAAGATTTGTATTTAAAACTATTCTGAATACGGTCGCTACCATTAGTACGATATGTAGCGCCCTCTATAAGTGAAATCTTGAATTTGAAATTTCTGCTTCGTGGTAGAGGGGTGTATTTTTTTTTCTCTCACTTAAATTGCATTTTATACACATTTACTTGAGTTCTGCTAACCGTTTTGACCTAAGTACCTTCTATACAGATACTTTCCAAATAATTCATATTAATGCATTAATCGTAAAGTTATACTGATCATGAGTTAACTTCGAAACTAATAGTAAACCAATGCTTACCAACAGGAATATCAATATGTTACGATGGTAGCATAGATGGTAAGAGGTTATTTTACTAATAAACTTCGGTAGTAGTGAGATACGAAGAGAACTTTTTTATCTTGAAGAGATCTCAGGTAGTGAATATACCCCAATAAACACAGTCGTGGCAATGACTTCTCTAAGACAACAACTTTTTAAAGTGACCAATGTTTCTGTGACAGCAGATAAATCTTGGATATGAACACCATGGCTGTATGGCAAAGTCTTCCACAGAAGACCAGAAATCATCTGGAAATGTAGATTCTAGACATAGAAATGTTGGTTTGGTTCATTTGAAAATGGCAAGGAATGCAAAAGCTGTCTACCTAAAAAAGAGGAATGTCTTCGGGGAGGATTTCTAAGAGAATTGGTTCGTATCTATGTTACGCATGGGGCAAACTAAGAAAACGTCAATGAAGCCAAACTGTTTTTCCTGGAATCTAGCTCATGCTGAACTGAAAGGATATAGCAACTTTACCACTTGGACCTAATAGTCCCGTTTTAGAAAATATTTACTGTATTTAATCTGTTTCATGCCCTTTTGAATTAATGAAATTAATCCTTTTGAATGTCAGTTGCAGAATTTTTTGTTTATATGAATATAAGTCTGAACACAAATTACGGAAATTACTTATGTTTTAAGTACAAATAAAGTCAGGTTTACACTTTTAAAGAAATTACTATAAGAAATCCAGCTGGAAATATTGATATGAATTTTGTTTGGAGATGTTTCAAGTAGAATATAACAAAAACAATATTTATTTGTTTTTGTATTTTCTCAAGAATCCATTAGTTAAAATTATTTAGAAATTTAATTGTTATTAAAATGAATTTATCGATCTTCATAATTATCATTAAAATTAATATACATGAATTATTCTAAATTAATTAAATCTTTTGTATTGTTCTTTACTAATTTACTTTTGTATTGTTCTTACGTTCTAATTAATTACCAAAAATTAGAAAATATAAAATAGTATTTTGGATGATAGTTTTAAGGCTTTAATTAAGTGAATATTTCTAGAAATGCTTAAAAAGGAAACATAAAAGTTTCACACACAAAATAATATTTATTTCACATACTTATACATCAGCTGTTTGAAACAAAGCTAAGCTACATGCGGGTTGTATATCAAGGGCATAAACTGTTTATATTGAATTTTGACTAAGAGTAACATCGCGACAGACAAAAGCATTTGCAGCAGAAACTCTCATCTGAAGCAAAAGAAGACGTATAAGCATGCATTTTGATTTCGTTGCTTTCCTGCATACCCTTTAAATTGTCAATGAAAAATGAAAATAATATTGTAGCCGCTCATAGTAATGCACAATAAATATATCTTAATGAATTAACAATCCTGTAATTTCCAAAAGAATAATCTCATTTTAAAACTCAAAATATGTTCACTTATATCATGTTTTACTTAACTCTGCAGTGCCAAATGTTTCGATCTAGGAATTTATTTAGAAATGTGACTTTATTTCAGGCACCAAAAGCATTGCTTTCGAAGAAAAAGCTCAGCTATGCTTTTAAATTTAAAAATGAAAACGCGAAAAATGTGATTTTAATTTATGAAGCTCAGTTTTGCATGGAAATTACACAGAAAATTTATTTTCACTAAAATTTAAAATTTGAAGTAAAATCCGTTTAATTATTGCTAAGTCGTGAATAGAAAAATACATTGCAGAATAAACAGCTCTTGAGATAAAATCCTGCGATAGATGAAAGTTAAAATAAGAAAATATTTATCAGTTAATACCTAGTTCGTAACCAATATAAAAACAGCACACAGATTTCGTACTCTATAAAACACAAAAAGCTTAATTTTTTAAAAATTTCTACATAAAGGAGAATTTATACTAGAGATGTGATATTTTATTTTGTACTTCTTTTTGCAATATGAAGCAAAAGCTAAGATAGGAATTGCACACACATGTTTCTTTAATAGCTCCGAGTAAATTTCCTTAAATGTTGACGCTAAATCTTTTAGTAAGCGCCTCGTGCTCTAGGATCTGTGACTGGGACTAGGACGTATCGAGGACCTCCTCGTCCTCCGGCGGCTGCAACAGGGGGGCCAACTGGAGCAATTTGGGCGGCTGGTCGAGCAACGGGTCCTCCAGCTCCTAAGCTGTAAGCAATAGCGGCTCCTTCTTGTGGAGCAGAAGATTCGACAACGACATCGGCTGGGTTGAGACTGGCGGTACCTGGTTCATTGGTTCTGATGTTAGCTCTGAAACCACCTTCGTCGGCAATGTATTCGACAATCCTTTCATGTCCTTCGAGGTCGTTGACAGTGTAAGATCCAGTTACACGTCCTGCTCCGTCGCCAGATTCTTGGTGAGAGCTTCGGCCGCCATCTTCAGTATCTGAGATGTAGTTGAATGAATAGGGAATAGGTGGACCTTGTGGTTCCTAAAATGCAGATGCCTTGTTAAGATATTAATATAAAAAGATTTTTTTAAAAAAAGTTTTACGCTTAAATACTTGGAATTTTTGTTAGTATTTAATATTATATATGCAAATAATTATAGGATAGAGATTCAAAATTAGTACCACACACGGAATGCATGCATAGGTACCACTCACAATTACTTGAAAGAAGCTTGATTATGCCAGTTGAGATGCATATTATTTCGCCTAAATCAATGCATTATGAATAAATAAGAAAATGGCGCAAACAATAAAACTTCTCCGTCATTATTTTAGACGACGTTATTTTAGATTCTTCTGTAAGGTTAAACGCTTCATTTCTTGCAGAAAGTACTCGAGCTTGAATCTACATTATATATCAATTATTTCTTCTGGAGACTTTTTTTAAAATATTTTCTATATACAAAATGTGGATTTTCATTTAAAACAAGTATTTTTAGCCCTACATATGGAAATAATTATTTTTCCGAAATTTAATATAGATTAACACTTTAATAACAAGCTTTAAATTAAGGAAATAAATTCAGTTTTATGAGAATACAACGGATCCCAGCAGAAACTTAAATTATTTTCAATCCAGAATCTTCTGATATTTGCTGCTTTGAGCTCATTCCAGTTACATTCTCATAGTTACGCAGGAATTAAACAGAAATATATTGCATTTATATAGAGAGAGCAGATTTCAAATCTGAAGTAAAATATAAAACCGTCACATACTGTGCAAATAATTTATCTTAAATTTTATTTAAGTATTATTTAAATTTACTTTACTGTGCTTTGATGACTTTTGCCTTATTTAAACGTTCCAAGCTTTTGATCAGAATTATGAGCAAATTAAAGCTGTAAAGACTCTTGAGTGAATTTTGTTCTCCTCTTTTATGGTTACAAAAGTGAATATCGCGTAAACACCCTTGAAAACTTCTGGAGTATTCACTAAACTTATACATGGCAGCTGGTTTTTCTTTCTGCAAGTTTTTACTCCGCATTCCTAATGTTTAAGTTTACGGAAGACTTTAGTTTGCATTTCTTTCACTTCTTCAACCCCCAGGTTACTGATTACAAAATAAACTTAGATGTTTTTTTTTTTTTTTTTTTTTTTTTTTTTTGAAACACCTCGAAGAGACGTTTGTTTTTATCAGTACCGGATTTCCTGTCCTAGCAGAATTGAAAGTAGTGCTACATGAAGAAAGAAGCTACATGGTGAAATACTTCTTAATTTTTTAAATTTTTTTAATTATTAAATAAATATGCAAGTCCTCACGATGCATTCATTCACAACGAAAACATATCTTAACCTTTTTTTTCTACCATTTGGCTTTACCTTCTTTAAGGATTCATATTAAATAAAGATTTTATGTTGTATGTCTTTAATTTCTGGATTACTGTAATTTTTTAATAAGTGAGCCTATGGGAATTTCTGTGTTTAAAATTAATTTTGTTGTTAAATTGAAATACGTATACCAAGATTAGATGGTAGTTTCTTTTCAATGTTATAAATTTAAAATTTTTGAAATGTATTTTTTGCAACGTTTCAGAATTTGATGATATAGTCTTTAAAGTATTAGATTGTAACTGAATTTTGAGAAGTGCAATTTTTCTTTACTTTGTGCCTTGTTAAGAATCAAAATTTCCCATATATATAAAGCTTAGGTTCATACAAAATATATTATTTTAAATTACTTTGCAGGAACATAAGCCTGCATAAATTACTACATAATAAAGAAAGTAAAGCAAGTTCGTTTTAATAAGAAAGAAAAATTTTAATTTGTTTGAAAATCAATGAAAACAAAGTGAAATGGAAAAATTAATGAAATAAGAGAATTTACAATTTAATGGAAGAAGTTAAAATGAAATATACTTACATACTGAGCTACAGCTACTGCGATTAAAATAGAAAGGACAATGAAAACCTAGAAAAGAAGATTAATAACTTTTATTATTTTGAGCTAGAAAATTATGAAATTTTAAAATTTGTTTCCTGCAGCAAAAATTCTAAATTTTTACTTCATAATCAAATTTTGTTATGCTTTTTACAACATTTTTTATTATTAGCAGTCTTCGAATTAAATATGTTCATTTCTTTTAAATTCTTTTTCTGAAGTTCACAAAATCTGAAAAATATTAATTAAGAATTTTTATATTTTACAATTATTAATTTCTTACTTTTTTTTAAACTTAAGATAATTTTAAATTTTATCAAGTTGTTTAAGTAATAATTTTTATCTTTTCATATGTAATTTGATTTGAAACTCTTATTTTGAAATGGTATAACCATTATAAAACTCTTAAGGAGAACTCTAATCAAATCTATTTTATTTCTTAAGTCGGCCTATTTTTGTTATTTGCATGAAATAAATATACTAAACGCTTAAAGGTTACATACAGAATTTTTCAGGAACTTAAGTAATTAATAGGAGAACTCCCATTCTTCAATACGACTTCTTATAAGGGGTAATATGGAATGAATAGAATCCAGTACTCTAAAAATGGACATGCTTTAATATTCCATAAGAGAATCAGTTGTCCTTGGGAGACTAAGGATTGAATTATTTCAAGTTATGGCAAAGCCCACCAGAAGAGCTTTCTGTCTAATCGAAAAGATGCCTTCGTGGAGGACCTTTAAGAGAAACTCGCGTATTCACATTACACATAAGAACGGCAATTAAAACTTCCACGCAGCCAGCTCCTTCGACAGGATTTGAACCTGGTTGAACTACCAGTACTCAGCGGTCAGTAGTTTTACTGATCGGTAGCTGATGGGCCTGCGAGTAATGTAAAGTAATGTAAAAATTCTTATCAACTGCTCACCTTTTCGCCCTGGCAAAAATGTAGCCACTATGCGAAACATAGTCCTTAAATTTTCTTTTATGTATTTCGCGTTTAGTGAGTTATCAGTATTGCCATTCGGGTAAACTTAAGTTATTTTACTGCTTAATTTAAGCATCGAATTTAATCAAAGTGTGATTGTTTAAAAGTATGAGAGATTTCAAGGCAGTAAGCGCATTTTTTAATAATAGATCTTCATTTTACTTTGGAATAATATATTTAATGAATAAAATTAAAATATAGCCAAGGTTATTGTAATTACTAAAAAGTGTTTTTAAAGCAATATATTATATATTTGGTTTCATTTCTATAAGATGTTAATCGAAGGAAAAATATTTTAACTTTGAGGTGTACTATAATTTAAAATAATGATTCAGGAAACAAAATTAGTGCATATTTTTTTTTAAAATGGCCACTATTTCTTTTGATTAAATACTCGATTTCAATGAGCTATCTAATTTGGGTTCATTAGACTGATCCTTTTCTAATAAAAGAAATATGTTTGTTTTTCCTTTCAGTCGTCTCAGTAAATGTCATTTTCACAAATGCCATTTAACTGTTAAGTGAAGGGATTTTACATCGCACTAAATAGGAGACAGCTTTACCTTTCAATATTTTATCAAAATGTTTCTAATTCATGGACGAATACTTCTTTTATAGATGTTTAAAGATTTTTTTTTATCTCATAAAGGAATTTTAATATTGGCATTAACGCATATTAAAATTATTTAGATAGTAATTTTAGATTTCAAGTGAAGGAATATCACTTCAGATATTCCTTCACTTGAATCACCTTATTCGTACAATATCTAAAATTATAAAATATTACATTTAAGACTTCCTTTCTGCCACTCTCTTTTGCTTTCATTTGTATTCGTGTATTCAAATAATAAATTTTTAAAAATCCAATAATTTTTTTAAAACATTCGTTAGGTTGCTTTAGATTACTTGGATAGATATGGCAAAGCTCGTGAGTCTTATCTGCCTAGGGCGAAGTATGCCTTCGTGGAGGATTTTCTAAGGAAAACTGGCTCGTATTTATGTTACATGTAAAGAAATCCACGAAAATCACCCCTGCGGCCAGCCCATTTGCCAGGCCTCAAATATCGGTCGAATTACCTATATTCAGATGTTTTAAACATCTGAAGCCACTGATGGAGGATACATATTCCAGAAGACGAAGTTAAAAAACAAAAACCTTGATTAGCAAGATAAAGTAAGGGATTTTAAAAATTAGTTTGAAATATTTTCGTATTAATAATTACACATAGTTCAGTATCCAAAGGAAAAATTATTTAACTTTTTAAAATAATGTCAGAAAGCTAAGGAAATAAGCTTTTTAAAAGTAGTCATACAAAATGCAAATAGCAGAAAACATTTAAACTATTTTACCTTCATATTGGAGCTAGAGACGGCTTAACTTAGAGCAGGTTTAGATGATCAGTGCAGTGACAATGTGTGTGACAGTTGTTGTTTCTGGCCCTATATATATATACCATGTGCTGCTTTACTTCTCTTCGCTTACTACAATTGAATTGCGACTTGAATATTAATTACTGTTAACCCGATGCACATGCTGAAGTGACCCAAGAGGTCATCAAGTCAATTTTAAATTCTTACCTTCCGGCATTACTCTTAAAATCTCCTTGAAATTTTCACCCCCGGCTTTAAACTTTTACTTTTTTTCTCTCTCTTAAAATCTGGATCACACTTAAGTATGTAAACCCAGTCACGTAAATAGTGTCTTCTTATTATGAAGGAATGAGTAATAAGATGAGATTTCTTTTACTGTCCAAAACGTACATAATGAGAACAAACCTTCTTTTGTGTCGAAACATGATTTGTTGAATTTTATGTGGCCGTGAGGGTGTTATGAATGCCTTAGCTTTGAATTTGGCTTCATTCAGTGTGATAAATAGTTTAAATGTCGCAAGGTGAATTTGAAGTTCGCCACTGTCATGTATTTTTTTTCGTTTCTTCCTTAGGAATCAGATATCAATGAATCTGAAGACATTTGTCTTCTTTCTTTCAGTAACGAAAAAAATGCATTCTTATGTGAGATTCGAATAGATGCTCCAAAACGTACGACTTCATTTTCGTCCCTGATCTTATGTTAGAGCACGATTTGCATTAGCTAATACCGAAATTTCTCTTGTATACTTTATAAGGTATTTTCCCCTTTCTTTCAGAATGCCTTCATGGTGCAACGGTTAGCACACTAGGCGCGTATTCGAGAGGTCGAGGTTCGAGACCCAGCGAAGGCATTGCTTATTTTTTTACATATACCGCATAAGTAAAAATTATAACAACTCTACAGTGGTACTAAAAGGTGATGGATGACGATTCTCCACCAGCAGGATCTGGCGATTGGGTCCCTTAATCCCCAGTTGCCTTTTAAAAAGGAGAGTATATAAGATATTTTCTCCCTCCTTTCTGCATGGCTTCGGGGCGTAACGGCAACACACTCAGCGCGTATTTGAGAGGTCCAGGTTCGAGTCCGGCGAGGGTATTGCACATTTTTCATATCTCCTGCTTTAAAAAAAATCCTGATGTCTATAAAACTTTCTTTACTTTAAGATAGGATTGAACCGAATGTAGGGGGTAGGGATTCAGAACCGAATTATTACTTTTAATGTTTGAACGGAATTATATTAATGTCTGAGTTACCTTACATCTTTTATTAATTGAAACAATTTAGCAACTCTCTAGATGAATTATTAATAAGATATGTTATAAATTAAGTATATTTTATATTACATCAGAGTCATATATTACTAAAAATTTAAATAAATTTAAAATTATTAACAAGTGCGTTTATCGCCTTCGAAACTCTTAGTATATTTAATTATTCAATTAACTTTGAAAATAAATTAAAGATATTAAATCACGTCACATTTACCAAGTTATGTGGATGATAAATGCTTGATAGCGTAATGTAACATAACCGTTCAAAATTTTTTTGAATAGGCTAAGTTTTTTTTAGCATTTAAGAGAGGTGCACTTTTATTTTTATTGCAATTATGATTAATTACCTAATCAATACTTCAAAAAGGAAATTAAAAAATGTGTGTGATGAAAACTGAAAATAATGTACTTTTTAAAACCATTAAATTTAAAAAAGTAGGCAGTTTCAGAAAATACAAGTTTAAAATCGAGGATATTTTATTTTAAATTAAAGTAATGTCGAGATTTACGAATCGTTTCTTAAAATACTATCAGCACCCAGATTTGGCACTACAAATCGCCATTTAGAATCCTAAAAATTCACTTCAGATGCTTTATTAATTTGTTGAAATCTTTGATGTTGCCATTACTAAAAATTATTAAAATTATAATTAGCTTTAAAAATTTCAGATCAGATTTCAAGAAGTATTTTTTACGAACTATAAATTTTACTTTAATTTTAATTGACATAATCATTCCAATGTAAATATTTGAAGTGATTTTCTCAGCGGAGTTTTATTTTGCAGCTCACTCTTTTTACTTAAAATATATCAAACCACGTGTTTACATTATAAAATATGCAAAGGGTTTTAAAATAGGAAATAATAAAGGAGTTGGTTGATAAATTTGAATTCAAAGATGTAGCGGTTTTGCTTGGCTCTTTTGGTTTAAAAATGTTTTAATTAGAGGGTTTTTAATTCATGAATAAAGATTTAAAATTTTTGAGACTCTCTCTAAATCTCTCCAAAATTGTTCATGAAAAATTGCTCTTTTTATTGAATAATTTGTATATTTATTAGACAGTCGCCTTATATCGATGAAGATGTGAAGTAAAGGATTATTTGTGGATAAAATACTACAAGGGGAAATGCTGTTACATGATTATCATGTGCATAAACAAATTAAATGCAAAATTACTTTTCTTGGAAAATTCGATAGTATTACAGTTGATGAGATAATCAGAATACATAATTAAAGTAATTATTCCTTCAGGTTATGATGTATATTAATCTATAGTCCAATAATCACGCCATGTAAGCAAAACAATACATAATTAATACACATGATATTCGAAGAGTCTCTCATTGATTCCTCAGTATAATGTCTTACGAATTCATATGTTAGTTTTTGTAATTAAATTTCATGGATATCTAGGCAATGAATTTTGTTACAGAAATTTTGTGATCACTTACCTAATCTACCTAATCTTAACTGAGAGAATTATTTTCACAGAAAAATGAACAGTGGTTATAACTATAATAGACAGGTCTGTTACAACGGAATTCATGGATGTGTGCAGTATGGCAACGGAATGCATATAGATTATCTGTAATGAATAAGAAAACCTCGGTGAGTGTCCGATTCTTTTATGTATTAATTATTACAATACGTGCACTTTTAAAAATACAGTGTTTTGAAATCGGATGAATAATTTGCAATATCTCCGTACTTCGTTGCCTACGTTTGCTAGTAAAAGGAGATTGTATGAAATGAAAACACAAATTTTTTATGAATATCTTATACGAAAAAGGAAGCAGGCAAATATGCGTGATATTTCTTTCTTGAGTGCAAAATCAGAATCAGTCCACTGAAAACTTTTCTGACATGAAATATTTTCAATACAAATTTGCAAGTAATTTTTAAGTAAAAGTTACTGATTTTACTGGCATAATATATTTTAAAGTATTTACTGGAAAATGCACCAATTAGAAACAAACAACAGACTGTGTAGAGTCATTATGATTTTTTTTTTTTTGGAAGTCAGAGATGAAAAATAAGCAATCGCCTTCGCCGGGAATCGAACCACAGACCTCTGGAACACCGGCCCAGCGTGCTACCATTACACCAGGCATTGTAGGGAAGTGGGAGAAATACCTTATATACTCCCCTTTTTAAAGGGCGACTAGGGTTTTAGGGGACCTAGTCGCCAAATCCTGGGTACGGAGACTCATCATCCACACCCTTTTAGTTCGGGCGCCACTTGTACAGTCATTAGGTCAATTGGAAGCAGAAAAGATGAAAAATATGCAACCACCGTCGCCGGGAATCGAACCACGTGCCTCTGGAATACCGGCCCAGCGTGCTACCGTTACATCACGAAGGCACGCTAGGGAAGTGGGAGAAATCCCTTATAACTGTATTTTTTTAAAAAATTCTTATAATGAAAACTTAATCAAATAACATCCAATTCATCTTCCACAGTCAGACGGCACAGTAGAAAGGTTTAATCGAATATCTCTAACAACCTCTTGCTGATGGCTTCGAGAAGTTACTTGTGTTCCTAGTGGTTTATCGCAGTGCTATCCATGAGAATACCGAGTATTCCCTCATCGGCTCTTCGATCTTTACCTTCGCTTGCCGTATTATTTTTATTATTATTACTAATATTTATTACGTACTCTGCCTTTAGGTATTCTGTGGAAGTATTTTAAGAGAAACGGGTTGGTATCCACGTGATACAAGAAAACGCAGATGTAGCCAGCCTGTTTTGCAGAATTCGAACCCCAGACCGAACTACCAGTATTCAGCGGCTTTTACCCCTCGGCCGCTCGTGGCCCTCGATCTGCCTTGTTATCTATTGTTTGGTCGCCTTATGAATAGGCCTCTTTCTTCTGAGGCGTACATTCAGGATCTCCAGGCTTGGTTTGCACAGTTTTGCACAAGAGCTAGTCAAATTGGCGACAGGAACGATGAAGAAATTACGAGAACTACAGGGTTCCAAAACAGGGAACGACACGTGGAGGACGTTCTATAGACTGGGAAATGGTACTGTATCATTTGAATGGAAGAGGAAATTAGGATTGAAAAACTAGGCACACCAAGAAGAGCTTCTAGCTATCCGCGATGCACTAAGGTATACTAAGACATACAAACAGCAGAAATTCTTCATACTCAGCGATTCAGCTTCAAGTCTGGCGGTTATCACAGGACAAAACAGTAGGAGTCCCTTGCTATACCAGATTCAAAAACAAATTCTCAAACATCCATTCCAAAATGGGTTCTCGCTCGTACAGGGATTCAAGGCAATGAAGCTGCATACCTTCTGGCCCAGCAGGGAGATAATGGCACGGAATTACTAGAACGAGCAACTAAACTTCCTTGGTCTCGCATTAAAAAAAGCAACTTTGATAAGCTTGCTACAAAACTGGCAAAGTAGATGGTCAGAAGCAGATGCACGGAGAAGGACATTTCTCTTATTGCCAAAAGTTCATGGAAATGAATACCCGAAGTGATAGCCTCACACAATTCTTGACAGGTTATTGGCCATTCCCAGTACGTACTCTACAGATTTATACTTGGAAATACTCCCTTTTGCGACTGCGGAGAAGGGGACATGGACTATTATTACTTTCATTGTGTTAATACAAGAATCTAGCACATAAGAAACTAGTGGACTATGCCTAGGCAACGTAGAAATTCATCACACTCAAAAATATTCCTTGGTAAAATAGAGAAAATCTTAAGACACTGTGTAAGCAGAAGTCACCGTGATCAATATTATGTTTGAAATGATCAGAATTTAAAGCAGATAATCAGGATAACGCTTAGAATTTAC